GTACCTGCAGAGCCCAGCCCTTCCTTGCCCCCAAGACTGTGGCAGCCTCAGCCCTTCACAGGGTCGCCCATGACGAGACCCTTGCTACCAGGACCTCTGTCCAGTGCTTGGAAAGGGCGAGTCTCCCAGCAAAGCTGCCCGGGGGCTGCTCCCGGCCCAGCTGTGCACTTACCCGGATGTTGGGGCTGGGGGCGAAGTCCCACATGAGGTGGCGGGACAGAGCCGGGATGTTGATGCCCCGGGGAATGTAGATGCTTTGGGTCAGCTCCGTGATGTCCTTCAAGGGGCGCTGGATCCCGTCAAAGATGGAGCCCATGATGCCTGGGCCCAGCTCCACCGAGAGCGGCTTCCCCGTGCGCAGCACCGGGTCCCCCACGCACACCCCCGCTGCGGCCGTGCTCAGGAAAGGCACGAGATGGGGGTCTAGCCAGGGCGGGCTTCCCCGAGTGCAGCACCTGGTCCCCCACGCATGCCCGGGGCCAGAGGCAGGCAGAGGGGAGGGAGAGGCATGGCTCGGAGGAGAAGGGCAGGAGTGAGGGGTGACTTGGCGGGGGAGTGGAGGGGCGAGGGGCAAGCCAGCAGGGGATGGCAGGAAGGATACAGGTCTCCTCGTACACCTGGATGGTGGCCAGGTCCCCCTCCAGGCGGATGATCTCGCCCACCAGCTCGGCGTGGCCCACGCGCACCAGCTCATACATGGCTGCCCCCATCATGCTGCAGGCCGTGACCACTGCCGGGACAGGAGAGGCTGGGATGAGCCCCCACACAGGGCCCGCCATGCCCCACACCCCAGCCTCTGCCTCCTTGCCCCCTCCTCCCAGACCCCTGCCCACGCCCCCCCGGGGTAGCAGAGCCGGGGGCGCTCTCAGCTGAGCCAGGGACCCCGACTGATTTCCTACCCCCTTGCAATCACCCGCACCTCCACGCTGCGCCTGGGTCTCGGCTGCCCTACCTGGCCCGGAGACACCGTGCACGAAGCCCAGCATGCTCTCCTCCTCCACGTCCTCGATCTGGGGCAGCCTGGAGAACTCCATGGCCCCGGCGCCGCAGGGGTGAGAGAGACCTGGCCGAGCCTCTCCACGAGTCGGGCCTGGCTCCTGCTTTGGGGGTGCAAAAGCTGCAGTCACCCCCGCAAAGGATCAATGCACAGCTCTTTGCCCCGGGATGTAAAGCGGGTCTTTGCTCGGGTGCAGCCGGGAGCAGCAGGCGTGAGCACGCTCTGCTGGCTTCGCTGCACGCTGCCAGGCCCACCCGGGCCCCTGGGGAAGGCAGAGGGCACGGCCCAGGGGTGCTGCCTCTGCTCGGCAGCCAGCCACCTTCACTTGACCGGAGGATGCCAGACAATAACAAACCTGTGGCCAGCTTAGCCAAGATGTGCACAGGGCACGCTGCTGGACCCACCCCCAGGGAGGGTCAGGGAAATGCCCCTTCAGCTGATGTGTGGGCATGCGGTGCAATTTGTGGGCCCATGGGTGCAGCTGCGGCCAGGTAACGTGATGGCGCAGGTGAAGCTGGGCCTCGGGGGGACTCCTGGAGGAACTGGGTTTCCCTTCCCCTGAAGCTCCTACCCTTGACCCCTATGGGGGCATTGCTCTGGGCTGCCACTGCCAGGTGCAACCCACGTCCCGGGGCTGGGCAGCGCTGGGAGGCCCTGGTGCAGCCTTGTCAGCTCAGGCTCCAGGCCCTCCAGACCCAGCTCGTGCTGGCCAGGACTTGTCACAGGCCGGCCAGGGGAAGGCTCCAGGTGCTCGCTGCCAGGCAAAGCGCTGGGGACTGGGCACCTCTGACTCCACAATCTGTCCCCTGCACCAGCCAAGGGAAGCCTGCCCCAGAGGAAGGGGAGCTGCTGCAGCCAGAAATGCAGGGAGCAAAGGAACAGGAGGGGGTTAGGGCAGCGAATCTCAACCGGGGAGGTACCAGCACCCTGGGGTGCAGTGAGATGCTGTCAAGGTCACCACGCCACATTAGCCCTGGTAGGTTACAAACACGATTCACAAGACAAAGCCAGAGATTTCCAACAGAAATCCCTCCCCCGGAGTTCTTTGCAACAGAAAGGCTGCTCTGTTATTTTTTCTGTAGGCCAAAAAGGAAGAGAGAAGTCTAAGAGCTGGCCGTTTCCGAAGAGGGCCTCGAGCCTGTGCAGGGGCACCGTGTGTCCAAAAGGGCGGAGAACCCCTGGGTTAGACCCTGCAGGGGGTTGCAACAGGGGCAGCAGGCAGCCAGCAATGCGAGGGTGAACGGGGAAACGGGCACGCTGTGGTGGAGCTCTTCCACGGCCGAGGGCACAGCCCTTGGGTTTGCAAACCTCCCTCCAAGCTCTGGCAGCGTGGGCTTCAGATCCAGCCTCCACTGATGAAAGCTAACCCGCATGCGCACCTGCTTCTAGCTCAATGGGCAGAGCAGGGAAAAGGCCTATCTTTTGGCAGGACCAGGGCTAGGGCTGAGCTTGGGAATCTGGAGCTGTGAGTCTAGGCCCTGCAGGGGAAGGGAGCGAGAGGGGAGCAAGACTTAGGGCTCTCCTTGCAGGGGGGAGACCTCGAGCAGGTCACTCCACCTGCAAACCAGAGCTGGGAGTTCCCCATCGCACAAGGCTGCAGAGAGCTGCGATCCGCACCAGAAAGCCAAGTAGCGCCGCTCAGCCCGGTTCCCTCGTGTGTCCTCCTGGGTGCTGGGCTGCGGAGAAGCGCCCGCGCTGTGTGGTGGGCAGGGGGAACCCCCGGGTGCAAGGGCTGCTCAGCAGTGGGTGCCAGTCAACGCCCGGGGCGAGACTGGGGAGTGCAGCACAGTGGAGCTGGTGGGCACCGCATCTCTGGTGGGGGGGGATGAGAAATAGCCCCCAACCCATTCCTCCTGCTCCGTGTGTCACTCAGAGCAGGAGGAATCTCCCGGACAGGTGATCTCTGTGTCTCGGAGCAAGGGCAGGGTGCTAACCACCAGCCCCCACCAACTCCCCACTCAGAGTGCAAATAGGACCCAGGAGTCCTGGTTCCTGTCCCTGACCCGCTCCAACCATTACACCTCGTTCCTCTTTCAGAGCCTAGTCCAAAACCCAGGAGTGCGGGTGCTGAGAACCCATACCCGGGCACCGGACCGCCACCCCTTCCCAGCGCTGGAAACAGATCCCAGGAGTCCTGACACCCTCAGAGAGCTGGACAGAGCGGAGACAGTCCCTACCTGAGGCTCTCTCCTCTCCTCTCCTCTCCTCTCAGGCCAGGGCTGGCGGGCTGCAGGCAGTCCCCAGGGCTGTGCCTCTGCCGTCTGATGGGTTTATAAGGCAAGGGGGCAGAAGGGACAGGCCCGGGGCTGGATCTCTCCTGCCCAGAAACCAGTTCCAGCCATAGCCCGTTGCAGGAAGCTGGGGAAGGCAACGGAGGTCATTGCAAGGGGAATGGGTAACAGAGAACTGAGCCACGTCCAACAGCCACCAGAGCCGTGTACAGTAAACAGCGGGCACCGCCCAGGCTGCCCTGCCCACCTAGGCAGCCCTGCTCTGGGATCCGCCAGCAGCATCCCCGCACCCCTCGCCTTGCCCCTGGGTCCTTTACCTGGCGCATGCCTTCCACTGCACTCTGCCCCGCAACTGCAGCCAGTTCTGGGGTGGGACATGCAGCAACCAGCAAGGGAGGTGGCTGCAGACCCCAGATCCTCCTCTTACCTGCTGGAGACTTGAGACACCCCCTCCCACCCACTGGGACAGGAGCTCCCCTTCTCCAGCACCTCCCAATGAACGGGAAGCAGCCACGTCAACACCCGCAAAGGCCTCTGCCCATCTTGCACTGGGCTGCCCCCACACAGGCCGCTGCCCGGCATCCAATGCTGGGAAATACTGTGACCACCGGGGTGGTTTTCCTAGTCGCACCTGGGGATAGCCGCTTTTCTGGCATGGGGTAGTACCCGTGGATGCCACGTATAGTAAACCTCCCACTTGCTGCTGGAGTGGGAAGATCTTGGCTTTATGCCCACTTTATGGAAAGGGGAGACTCCTCCCTAGCTTGCTCCTGGGGCCTTATGGCTGAGGGCGGGCAAAAATCGGGGGCATCTGAACCCCAAGCCTCCAGGCTTGGGCCTGCACGTAGGATGTTTCCCAAAGAATTTGGAAACTTCTGAAGCCCCGGGTGGGGTGGGCGGATGTTTGCCAGTAGCAGGGCCACTTATGGTTCTGGACTGACTCACGGATTTGGAATTGGATTTGGCTCGGGACACGAAAAGTTCTCTTAAAAAAAAAAAATCCAATGCTTCTACCCAGAACTGGGTGCACAGAGGGAGGGAGCACGAGTCCGTGGAGGGCATGGGCCCGGCAGGGTCTCAATGCCGGTGCTCTTATGCCAAAACCCTTTGCAAAAGCAACTCTCCAGGGGAGATGCAGCTGCTTCTGGGGTGGGGAGATGCCACTTAGGGGACCAGGATAAATCCTTCTTCTTGCCAGGGGCGGTCTGTTGGGGCCCCTGGGGAGCTCGGGCCCGGGCTGTGCAAACCCGCGCCTGGATTTAACGAAGGGGAAAGGTCAAAGGAAAGAGCCCAGGAGCCCCGTGCCCCCTGCCCTGCCCTGCCCTGCCCTGGGGCTGACCCCAGGACTCCTCCTAGCCC